CCCCAAAACCCCAAAACCCCAAAACCCCTTGCTAGTTGGATTTGCCATATTAAGGCAATTATTTAATTTAATTGGTTGGTTTCAGATAAAAGAAGTTGAATAAAGAAATTGATTGATAGAAATTTATAATTGAAATAATAATCATAAAGCAATTTAAGATATATTTACAACCTAATTCTTAAATTTTAAACTTCATAAAGATGAACACAAAAAGCTAAGTTACTTCTCCTCTAATTCAATCCTTAGTAATATTTTAGTGTAATCTTCATAAATTTGTAGGACATTTCTAAAGAACTCATAGATAGAGATAAGCAGGAAATCAATTAAAAGAATAATAGATCAATGTTTGATTATTGGAATGAAATTGATTTAACAAACTTCTAACCTAGCGATGAGTTTTCCTTTTTAGATGATGAAGAAAAGTTGGATTTCTACTCAGTTTTACCATTTACTTACATCTAGGAGAGAAATCTTCTAATAATTAGATTCAATAAAAAAGATTTGCTTGATGAGAACCAATTTCATTCCTCTTTGTAAGTCAGAAATCTTAAAGACAATAAAGTTTTGAAAAAAATGGATAAATTTTATGTGAGATTTTTGAATCATTTCAGAATTAATGATATTGATTATTTATCTTACATAAAAGATAGGAAAAGTTATATAACTTAATTGGATGATTTTTTATCACAAAACTACGATTATAAAAATGATGAGGTCGTAGTAATTGAAAATTTCATTATATTTTAAATTGACATGATTGATTAAAACATAATTTTTCTTTAAATTCAAATATCCTATATGGAAGAAGCTAATAAATGCTTTCAAATCGTTATTAAAAGTGACTAGGATGTTTAAAACTTATAAGATATAAATATCTAATTATCAAAACTAAAAGGACTGATAGTTAAATTAGAGAGGGAAAATTATGATCCTAATAACTGAAACTTTATTACTTTAAAAGAAAACTAAATGTATATAAAACTGAATGAATTAGCGTTATTAAACCCAATAAAGCTAACAAATCACTTTATTCTGCAAGATGCTTATTCTAAGTAAAAGTTTATTTATGAAAAGAGTGATTTAAGTTTATTCTCAGCTTATGGAAAAACCGTTCAATTTGCTGAATAATTAGACAGATTTTATATCTTTGATGAAACTAAAACCTTAAGTATTATGGATAGGAAAGACTTAAGCACAAAAAAAATACAGGAGATTAATATAGGACAAGATTTGACTATTTTAGGAGTTTATTTATTAGATAATTTCATGATAATTTTTGCTTAATAAGACGAGGGATAAAATATAGGTAAAACAAATGGATTAATTTTGATTTATGATTTTTTTCATTAGTAATTTATAAACAACTATCCTGTTAAAGTTTTTACTCAATCTTTTAGTCTTCCAATATTTTATGATGAAAATAAAAAATCTATAGTATATTTAGATAAAACTTTAAAAAACATAAGGATAATATAAATATACTCCAACATTACGAAATTCTATGACCACATAATGATAAAAGTAGATAATAAGCCGCCTAAGAATGCTTTGGAGGATTAATAGAAATTTATAGCTAGTATTAAAGAAAATTAACCTATGTTAGTATAAGATAAGTAATCAAAAGAGGAACATATAATAATTGAGAAATTAGGAAATTAAGAAATAAGCAATTTGATTGATTAAGACTTAATATAATTAAACTTTTTAAAATTTGAAGAACTCTCATCAAATGATAAATTTGAGTAAACATTTATTGATAAGGATTTTGTAATGCTGAATAATAAGAGATTTATAAAATTTGAGGAAATGCTTAAAAACCCGAATGACTAACATGTGTGGTCACATTTTATTATTGATAATAGAAATGACTTAAAATAAAAAGTTGGCTAATTAACTTATAAAAAATTAGCCTATTTTGATTTGAAAACTAAAGCATTTTCAGTCCTTCAATTATAAGAATCAGATTATTACGAAATAGATTAAGCTATAATAGATGAAGAATACAGATTAATAATTTTAGTCTCCTCAAGTTGTAAAAGTGTACAAACAGTTGATTTAGATACTGGATCAAAAATAAAAGAAATGTCATTTAATATGTAAAAATAGCTGATTGAAATTCATGATGAATTTATTCATTTTTTCTTGGATGATACTATAAACAACAAAGACATTCACAAATTTTTTAGAATAAAAGACAAAAAGATAATAAAATTAATTGAAATAATAACTGATCACAAAGGGATTCAAAAAACTAGTGACTTCTCAAAAATTCTTTAATCGCAAGATCCTATTATACAAAAGAATATTTTTAATGATAAATAGTATTAAACAATATTTACTAATTTAATGTACCAAGAGAGGAAGTTTAACTTATTTTAGCCTATCATTTTGAGTAACTACTTTTAGATAATTGATTACACTAAAATTGATGATAGAAGCATAAAATATTACTTTCAAGACTATGATCATTACATTGGATAATTTTTCATTAATTTTACTGTAAATGACATTTGCAATTATAGAACAGTAAAATAGCTTAACCCAGAGCAACAAATTAATGAAATTTAATAAAAACTATAGCAATATTTATATTTTATTCCTGGCTTTGGGAATGTGTTAAATATTTTTTAAGATAACAGCTTTATATTAGAATTGATTTTTAAGACCTTATCTCTTTATGATAGAGAATATATTCCGATACTTATTAGTCAAAGATTATATTAACAAGATTCTCCTATCGATGCTAATTTGGAAAATGGATAGCAAAAGATAGTTAACCTATTGATGATTAATCTTTTGAAATATTAAAATCATCTGATATTTAATGAACTAGTAGATAAGAATATTAGCTTAATGATAGAATAAAATATAGAGTTATAAGAATATTTCTAGAGTAACCTACCTTTGTTTCAGATATTTAATAATAAATTTCCATCAATCCACTAAAATAATGAGGAGAAAATTAAAGGAATAAATCTTGACAATCCACTTTAGGTTCTTGATAAATATCCATTGCTTTTTGAAGAAGAAACTAAGTTAATTAGTCATAAAAATAATTCTAAAATCTCAATCGAATATTTCTTGATAAATTTACCTTCTACTCTCTCCTAAGATAAATTTCAATTTATCAAAACTTTAAGTGAGACAGATAACGCAGAATACTTTGAAAATCTAGTAGTTTAAACTGTCATCAAGTTTAAATGGGAAGAGTATACTAGACAGTTTTACTAAAAATACTTCTTTATTTATATGCTCTTTATGATCTCACTTGTATTTGAGATATATCATGCAACATTCCATGGTAAGATTTAAAGTGAGACTGAAGAAGATAAAAGAAGAGATTATCTTATTATTATCAACAAGATTATAAGTGCAGGGGTTTTATTAATCTTCCTCCTATATGAGATAAGACAAATAAAGATATAAAGGGGAGGTTATATTTACGAGATATGGAATATTATTGATCTGCTATTGATAGCATCCTATGTTATTTTAAATATTATTGAATTTTGCTAGGAGGATATGGACAATTTGGTTTTGCTTTATGTTATAGTAATTTCACTATCATTCATAAAACTATATTACTTCCTCAGAATATATGAAGGCTTCAGTTTCCTAGTCTAAATGATTGCAAAAGTTTTTCAAGACTTAAAATTTTTCATAGCATTTTTCTTGATCTTTATCATTCAGTTTGGACTTATCTTTACTGTATTATTTAAAGCCGCTCCTATAGAGGAATATGAAGGAGTGAGTGCTTTTGGTTACTATTTAATGATATTCAGAATCGCTGCTGGTGATTTCGCTACTGACAACTACAAAGATCAATCACAATATTTAGTCATTCTAACTTGGATAGTCTGGGTTATTGCTGTAATCGCCCTGAACGTAGTTTTCATGAATTTCATAATTGCAGTTATTTCAGAATCTTATGAGAAGGTTATGTAGAAGATTGTAGCAGAGTCCTACAAGGTAAAGGTTCATATGATCAAGGAGAGAGAATAATTTTTTACCAATTAAAACCAAATTAAAGAGGCATATTTCCCACAATACCTAGTTCTAAGAAGACCAGTAAATCAAGAGAGCTAAGAGAATGGTAATATAATTATGTTTAAAGCATTTAGGTGAATGGCAAGGTTTTATAAAGGATTTAAAGAGTACAATGAAGACTACTGTTGCTAAATCTAGAAATGATATTATCCAGAGTCTAGCAGCAAATTAACAGTAAATTTAGATACTTAAGAATGATTTGAATTCTTTTGAAAAGAGAATTGACAGTAAAACTTAAGCTAACCATGATGAATTGAAATCTCAAATGGCTTAATTACATAAGCTTATGACAGAGAAATTTGGTGGAATTTGAAAAGATAGAAGAAAAAATAGATTAGATTATCAATGAAGCAGATATTATTATAGCGCAAGAAAAATATATTCAATAATTAAATTTGATACGATAACTTTTCTTTGTAATATAGACTAATGGGGTTTTGGGGTTTTGGGGAGATCGGAAGAGCACACGTCTGAACT